GTCGCTGACTGGCCAGTATTTACTACCCATCCCTAAGTTGCCCTGGAGAAGGTGGTGGTGAGCTGCCTTCTTGAACTGCTGCAGTTCACCTGCTGTGGGCTAACCCACAATGCCCTTAGGGAGGGAATTCCAGGATTTTAACCCAGCAACAATGAAAAAACAGCAACATAATTCCAAGTCAGGATGGTGAGTGGCTTGGAGGGGGATCTTGAAGGTGATTGTGTTCCCATGTACCTGAAGCCCTTGTCCTTCTAGATGGAAGTGGTTGTGGGTTTGGAAGATGCTGTCTGAGGATCTTTGGTGAATCTCTACAATGCATCTTGTAGATAGTATACACTGCTGCTACTGAGCGTTGATGGTGGAGCAAGTAGATGCTTGTGGATTTTGTGCCAATCAAGTGGGCTGCTTTGTCTGGATGGTGTCAAGCTTCTTCAATGTTGTTGGAGCTGCAACTATCCAGGCAAATGCCTTGGAGATGGTAAACAGGCTTCGGGGAGTCAGGAGGTGAATTACTCACCACAGTATTCCTAGCCTCTGACCTGCTCTTGTAGCCACTGTGCTTATGTGGTAAGTCCAGTTAAGTTTCTGGTCAGTGGTAACCCCTGGGTGTTGATAGTGGGGGGATTCAGTGATGGTGACACCATTGAATCTTAAGGGGTGATGGTTCAATTGTCTCTTATTGAGATTGTCTCTTATTGGTGATGGTCATAGCTTGGCATTTGTGTGGAGTGAATATTATTTGGCACTTATCAGCCCAAGCCTGGATATTGTTCGGATCTTGCTAAATTTGGGCATTGACTTCTTTAGTATTTAGGGAATTGCTGATGGTGCTGAACATTGTGCTATCATCAGCAAACATGCCAACTTCTGACCTTATGAAGGAGGGAAAGTCATTGATGAAGCAGCTGAAGACGGTTAGGCCTAGGACACTACCCTGAGGAACTCATGCAGAGATGTCCTGGAACTGAGAATGACAGAGTCCAACAACCACAACAATCTTCCCATGTGTTTGGTATGACTCCAGCCAGCAGCGAAGAGTCCTGCATCGTAACTCATTTCTGACTGTCCAAAACATGTCTACCATCTACAAAGCACAAGTAAGGAGTGTGATGCAGCTTGAAAAGCACTCAAACAGCTCAGAAACATCCATTACAAGGCAACATACTCCATTATCAATACCCACTTCCTTCATCGTCGATACACATAAGCAAGTGTGTACCATCAACAAGATGCATTGCAAAAAAATTCACCAAGTTTGCTTAGACAGCATCTTCCAAACCAACGACCACTGTCATCTTGAAGGACAAGGGAAGCAGATACATGGGAACCACCTGCAAATTCCCCTCCGAGTCTATCACCATCCTGAGTTGGAAATATCTCACCATTGCTCCAATCTCATAAGGTCAAGATCCTAGAACTCTTCCCGAACAGCATTGTGGATGTAATTAGACCAAATGGATCACAGTGGTTCAAGGCGGCAGCTCACCACCACCTTCTTAAGGGCATCGAGAGATGGACAATAAATGGTGGCCCAGTGAGCGATGCCCACATCCTGTAAATGAACTTTTTTTTTTTAGAAAAGTTAGAAATGCAGGCTTCCCACAATCCAGTGTGTATGGGATGTTTCCCAGAATGACTCCACAACCTTGTGAAGATCTGGCCAGTAAAATTATTGACATATACATGCCTAGGTCTTCTGGATTCCTACCTCTCCTGCCATGGGAATTTCATGGGCCATCCTTAATATTTCACATCTGGGAACAACTATTCACTCTTCAACTGCAAGTCTGTAATGAATTCTCTACTGCCTTACCAGAATTCCATTTTTAATACAACAGCATTCCAGAATGCCCTCTTCTTCAGTTTGAGCTGATTGGACAATAATTCCTAAATTCTGGATCAGAAAAGACAGTGAACATTTCCTTTGTTTTATCCAAATCCCCAAAAGAAAGCTTCAGATCACCAAATATCAGTTTACAGGGAGATTTAGACCTCTGACATGGGACTTTGTTTTACCATTGTTTGGGCCACTACACATGAAGGAAATATTCCTTTCTAACTGTTCTAACTCTTGGTCTTCACTTGGCTTTTCCAAGCCTACAAGAAAGAAGCTACTACCTTCACTCCAGCCAAATCATTCCCCAGGCCATGACTATCTCCAACCAGAGAGATTCTGACCATTGCCCCTAAACACTCAATGGCATTACCATCAACGAAACTCCGACTAGTCATCTTCCTGGAGATTACCATTGACCAGAATGGGTCTCATACATAGTCCCCACCTATAATCCAACCTAACAACAAAAAGCAACTGTTCTTGTTAGGAAAAAAAAGTTCCAAAAGGTTCCTTTAATTCACCTTTTAAAAAGCAATCCCAGTATCTCCACAGAACTTGAAACAGATCAATTTTCCCACAGTCCTTCAAGCCCGCAAAAAATTAAATCTTCATAAGATTACATATTGCCTTCGTCAATCTAGTCAAATCATGTGAGCAGAAGTAGTATTTAACTCGCTGGAGAAAACTGGCTGCCCTCCAAATCTGCTCAGTGTGATCCCTTTCCATGACAAAATAATGGATAAGGTTACGATGGGGCAAAATTGGAGCCCTTTGAGAAGCATGGTAGGGCCAAACAGGGTTATGTTCTGGCACCGATTGGCTTTGGCATGTCCTTCCCTTTACTGCTGTCATATGCCTTCAGTTCGTCGGAATCCCAGAATTCTCAGAAACCTGTTTAGCTTTGCATACCTGAGACTAAAGTGTGTCAAGTCCTCATGCAAACATTGCTCTATGTTGACAATATCATATTAACATTCCATATCAAGGAATTTGGTGGCAAATGGACAAAATCTCTCACATCTGTAGAGAACTTGTTTTGACTGTCAACATGAGAAAAACATTGTCAGAATGTTACCACATCACCGTCTATCAGCATTGACAACGTGACACTCAAAGTAGTTTATAGCTTTACATATCGGAGTTCTGCAATTGCCAGCATTCTGTCATTTAATGCTGAAATAAACATAGACATTGCAAAAGCCGCAGCTGTCATATCTAAGCTGAATAACAGAGTGTGGAAAAACATCAGACTGAGAACACCAAACTGACAGTCTACCAAGCCTGCATCCTTAACACACATTTCTTGACTGTGGTGAGACTTGACAACATTAGCTAGGCAGGAGAAAAGCCTGAGCAATTTCCACCTTTCCTGTCTCAGACAAATCTTTGGTATTTCTTGGCAGGACAAGATCACTACTCAGAGGTCCAGGACTAATCCATCATCTAATTTTCATTACAAATGACATCTGCAGGCTTAGCCACATTCACCAGGTGGGCGATGGCAATATACCCAAAAACTTTCTGTATGGTGAACTGGCCACTGGGTCATGACCTGCTGCCTGCCCACAGTAGGACACCTGCAAGTGAGATATAAAGATGGTAGAATCTAAAACTGATAACTGGGAGACAGTCACCATCAGCTATTAACTTGGTGTAATGGCTACACTAGTCCTGTAAAGAAGAATAATCAGATTCAGATTCATGTTCACATTCATACTTGCATCAAGTCAGTCACTGTGCAATGCAAAATTGCGCACTGAATCCTTACATTATCTC